AATAGGGCATGGCTGGTGAGTCCTTACAGGATGAAAGGCAAGTTCATTAGGATTTCAAGACCAGAAGGCTTTTTTGTTGGTGACACTCGGGAGTGTGGAGACCTCTTATTCAAAGGTCACTGAATATACATAAGCACACAGGGAGGCTTGGGGCACCTTCTGGTGGGTAGACTGTCCCAGAGGACACGAACACATGCTAAGGAGTCACTGTCAGTCCCTACAACAGTTCACAGTGAGGTTTCCTGGCTGCAAGGAAGGAAAAGCACAGCCTCTTAAATAAAAGATCACTCTTACATAAGGGCTTTAAAGTGCAGTCTAGCAAAGCAACACCAGGGAGAGCTTTGAAATGATCGGGCCTCGTTCTTGTCTTTCATTCTCTCATGGGGACAGAGCCATGATGACACGTTCTCCCGCATGTGATTGCAAAGCTGGGAGCAGGCAATGTAATCCAGCAGGGAAGGAAAACCCCCCTTTCGGCGGTGTCCTTCAATGCAATTGCCTGATTCAATTTGGCAGCAGCGAGGAGCATTGGTTAAGGGCACAGGGTTTGTATCTGGAAAGCTGTGGGCTCAGATCTGAGATGTGTCTTTGACGAAAGTACCTCATCTGAATCGATCTAGGGAAATACACAGCTGTATACACGGGTGCAAATGTAAGTCACTTTCGATAAAAGCAACAACCAAATAAATGAGTAAGTAATATGACGCACCTATTCTCATTATTTCATGTGCTGTAAGAGTTTGTTAATCAGTGCTGGAACCTCTCCCCTGTGGAGCAATCTCTGGTGTGTTTGTTAGATTTTCCATCTACTGTATTGCTGATATATTCCACTCAAACAACACATATTAATTTCATTATTAACATTGCTAGTTTTATTTATAAATGTTCTTCAAATAACTCATAGGATAGCACATGAATAATAAACTTGATGGGAGTAAAAAGAAAGACAAAAATGAGCACAGTAAATTGACCCACTACAAACCCAAAGTAAAACAAAATTGCAGAGAGCCTGATATCTTGGGTTTGGGCAGTGAGCGTCACAGACTGCGCGCTGTGCAGGAGAAGGCGCTGTCTCTGGCTGTGTGGAGCCTGGTCTTCAATATTGTAAGAAGGCCTCAACTTGGCCTGTCAGCTTCCCTCTCGAAAAATAAAATTCCATGAAAACTCAGAATTATTCCCTTCAGAAAAGTCAGTACCATGTGCTCCTTGGTTAAAATGCATCCTAAATGCATCTTTTTCCTGGGTGTTGTTATTCTTATTGTGTGGCTGATTCACGCCAATATCATCCTGAACAACATTTTCACTCCCAGCATTTTCTGGCACAGCACATGTGGAGGCCTGCGGCCAGCTGTGGAAATGCAGCTTATTTTAAGCACTTGTTATCGCTTTAACTCACTAACCCTTCTTCCGTCGCCCACTTCTCCTTCCTGACACACTCACTGATTACGATCACACTCTTCCAGTTTGGGGGCATGTTGGTATCTTGAGGAGAAGCTGCAATATTTGTTCTGTAAAAGGCTGTAATGGTTTCTGGATGTAAACACATACTGTAGGTAACCACCATTTCCTTAAGGATTAGCCACCCTAGTAACAAGTTACTTAGCAACTGCACTGCCTCTACCTATACTGCACAAATGTTGTTCTTAACGGCTCAGGTACGGGCTCTGAGCTTTTTGGGTGGGAATAATAAGGCATATCTGGAGCTGGTTGCCATGGAGACGAAAAAGGCTGTCTGAAAGTCGGGCTGAAATGTCATGATTAAGAAGACGCCCATTCCATGGCTTGAGTGAGAGAATTTAATCCCTGCCACTGACTCTGTGTATCTGCTCCCTCTCTTCCCTGCTGTAGAGAGAGCATGGTTTCTGCGGGAAACAGTTCATGACCCAGGCAGACTCAGCACAGTCAGCAAAAGAATATGATACAGGTACATCCATTTTAGACAAATGCATATTCCTGTAATACATTTGTAATAATGTTGGGGTGTTACAGTATACATACTGTATATAAAGCTGAACAGAGCTGATCTGAATCAAAGCCGATTTTGGGGATAATGATTTTAAGTACTAATGAAAAGCCTTTAGAATCAATGTTAGAGCTATTTTTTTTTAATTGGGAACAACAGGAAAGATCCTCGTTTCCTATATACCAATATAGGTATTTGCTGAATCAATGTAGCTGTTATTTATTACTTGGGTGGCCATTTGATTGCTAACTTGTCTGGTTACTAACATCTGATTAATTCAAGAATGCAGTGAAGACTTTGAAGGTAGATTTTTTCCAGCTAGAAACATAGCATAAAAACATGATTTGTGTGAAACTGGATTCTTTACAGCCATTCCAATCCAACGCATTTTTGCCTTTAAGAGCCAAGAAATGTGAAGGTATACTGTATATCAAAAAGTCCTCCAACCTTCTGAGGAGAGGCCTCTCACAACCCAGTTTTAAAAAAAAATATGTTTCGGTACAGAAATGCAATAAGACAACGTGCCTAAACACAATCATTAAAGCTGTGAAAGGGGTATTCTGAATGGTAACAGCAGCTGATTTATCTGATAGTGTAGCATGTCGAACTGGGGATCATTCTCAGAATGTGTTTGACTGTCCAGTGTTTAAAAGCACAAAGTATGGACGTCAGCAGGCAATGTAGTCAGCAGCCTTCCTTTTTTAGGTCAGAATCCAAAAGTACCAATAAATGGATATTACACATGTGGTCTTTTCCATCAGTCCATCCATTTTCTAACCACTTTCTCGAATACAGGGTCTCTGGGGAGCCAGAGCCTATCACGGTAAGCAATGGGTGCAAGGCAGGATACAGGATACACCCTGGACAGGACTCCAGCCCATTACAGGCTGCTGTGTTCTATAATTGCCAATTGCCGTCAGTACAGTAAGTGCAACGCTTCTCATCCCAGAGGATCCCTAAGTGCCTCAGATTTAGGGGGGGATTCTCATCCAACACTGAAGCGCAGCACCCAGCTCTGAGATGAGCAGGACCCATCATGTGCCAGCACCCCTCTACAAGACAGAAGAGGTCGAGAAGCGAGACATTAATTCACTCAATGAGCTGGGGGAAATTAAGGTTGTACAGCACTGAAGTAGGCATTAGCCAGCATGGTAGGGTTCTCAGACCTAGTTTAACAAACACTGTCAGTGTCGGGTCATTTTTAATGCCCAAGAAGTCTGGCCTTCTGCAGTGCAGTGTCCCCAGTACATCATGAGAGGCCTTTGGCTAAGGAGATCTGGTTCGCTATGCTGAGTACTACTGTACCTATTCGTCCACTAACCACGTTATTTTTCATTTGGGTGGCTCTATTATGAAGTGACAGAAACCAGGCTGAAACAGGTAACTCTCTCACAATGACTCTCCAGGGAGTTGAGATGGAAAGTTTGGTTGCTGGAAATGTTCAAACGAATGAATGCTTTAATGTCAAAAGCGCTTTTTGTGTGTCTGAGTAGATGGAGGACAGCTTCGAAGCAAAAATTATTACTGTCATTCCTTGGGGCATTGTCTTTGATATGACAGCACAAACTCTTGAAATACTTTGATTTTATTCTAGTTTGTATTCTTAAAGCTGTCACACAGAAGCAGTCAACTGTTTTCACTGGACTCTCTGGAGGCAACTGTCCTTAGCTGAATCCAATTTATTTTTGGCATGAGATTGTAAAAGCTTTATCTTGGTGATCTTAGCTCGTTATCTTCTTTGCTCTTATCAGACAGGCTCAAGTCATATTAGAAAGTACTTTCAGAGTCTTACATTTTAAGAGTCCATTTTCCTAGGCTGGCCAAATTTACTTAAAAAGCAATGCAGACATTATTATTAGTTCAGGTGGGGAGCTGCGTCAGCATGCGTAGTCTGCAAAAGAACAGGTAATAGGTTTATTCCATGCTGAAAAGAGAAGAGAGAAAACACAACGTTTTGGTTGTGAAGCCTTCTTCAGGTGTGAGGTGTTCAGGCCTTCTTCATTATTATAATTATTATACAGAAATACCAGCCCAAGCTGCCAGTGCAATACAGCTGTTGTAAATGGGACAGATAACTGTGTCTCTCTTTTACCTCCAAGTACTTCTATCACAGTCTGGATTCCTCTTGCTCTTAACCTGTTCATAATTCAAATTGATTTCCTTCAGGACTAAAGATTGCAAAAGTTGCATCATGAGTTATGTTAATTATTGACAACGTCTGAAATGTTTCCCCGAATAGTGGCATTTGAACACTAGGTAAATGAAATGACATTCATTTTTTGCTAGCAAATCAATCATATAATTAATTTTTATCCATTGTCATTAATGATGATCCATCAATTTCTAACATGTGCACATAAAGAAAATAGTTTGCTTCCCACCAGCTTGAGAAGGTTCTTCAAAAGCTTGCCTTCTGGACGTGCTGCTAAAAGCATTCCAATGTCTTGTGGAGCATATTTAGAATATGTCTCCACCTAGTGAGTAGCAGTGTGTCTAAGAACTTTGTACTTTCTTTTCCAGAGATAATATTTGTAATGTCTCTATCAGGTGCTTTTTTGAACTGAGAAACTCTAAAATAATTTAATCAGCTAGTTAAGAACAGTCATATACAGTGTTTTTAAAAATTACATATTTCATGTGTTAACAGTGTTCCATTTTTCAGCACTTATTATAGGTAAAATTTATGCTAGAAGTATGTCTTTATTGTCATTCCTTTTGATATTTAACATCTGATTTAATTTAATTCTGAGCAAGTTATTATGGAATAGTAGCATTGTGTAACTTAAATTTTGTTAAGGTTGCGAGTTTAGTGTACATAGCTATCCGCTGATAATCTTCTTTGGTATTGGTCATTTCAGATTCTGGCAACATTTAATAAAATGTACATTTCTTTTAAACACCAATCTGTCTGTTTTGGGCAGGAAAAGTGACTGGTGAGAAAAATGAAAAATGACATAAAATGCTTTTGTGTTTTATTGTATCACACAACAGGACCAGCATTTTGTTTTATATGAAAGGAAATAAGTACACCATTAAAAATAATACAAATAAAGGCATTTATTAGTTTCACAAGTGTTCTGGCAATCTGACTGTTCTGTCTAGATTTGTATGTGATGAAGGTTCACTTGAATGTTACAATGCCAGACCATGAGTGCTGAAGGTGCTTTTCCCAATGTGTTGGGGAGAGAGAACAAAACTATTTCAAGTTGTATTCCTCCCTTCCATGTATTGTACTTTACATAAACAATCTATATACTGTATCTTATATATAAAACATGTATACGCTTATACTTGTTCAAGTGGGTAAATTCAATCTAATATCAGACACATACAACAGTATGTACAACTCAAGCAGGTGAACTGTCAGTATTTGTTGTTTCTCACCAGGGGTTTCAGTTCATCGTTCACTAGCAAAAAACACTTGTCCCTCTTAGTGCGTCTGTGATTTGAAGATTGTTCACAAAATCTGGACATCTTGAAGATTCCTCACCGCCTCTGTGGAATGCCATTACAAGATTGTGTAGCCACTTCTTTGTCTAAACATCAAAATTGTCTCAGAGAAAGTCTTGTTTTTTACACTAAAAAGCCAGACACTTCTTTCCATTCATTATGGTGAGAGAGACAACATTGGATTCTTATTATTTCCTATAATTCAAAAGGACTGTCAGTGATTTTCTACTTTTGGGCAATGGTCATGCTCCAGTTATTGGATTGTTGCCATGGAGAGAAGCTATCCTTCGTAGCTACTGTATCACTGTGGAAATCTTATTGGGAATGCAGATGTGGGCAGGATAGATTAAATATAAGATTTTCCCCAAACCATATTCCTAGGAGAAACACGGATTCGAAGAAATTGAGAACAAGTCTGGAAACTCGTTCAAATTCTGAGCCTTCCTTGTGCATGACCTTGTCAGCTTTCTGGGAGTTAAAGATCTCATGTTATCTTTCCCCATTTGGACATCTTCTGGGTGGTGCTAGCCTAGGCCAGAGATGAAACTGTTTTGCTTATGCAGAAGAAAAATGTCAAATCCACAGGTGATACTCATTCCTTCTTAAAAAAACGACAATACAAAAACTTCCTCAGGAGTGTTCATTGGATAGTCCAGCAAAGCACGGAAAATGAGTTTTTTCCTTCCTCTCACCTTCCTGCTGAGCTCAGATTGATTTTAAAAAGGAAGGTTTTGTCCCCTGTTTGAGTTCAAAATAATTGTTTAATTTCTGTGTTCAAAGCGTAGGGAAACTGACACCCTCTCTCCCCCTCTCTCTCCCTCTCTGTCCCTCATCTGGTTAAGGTAGGGCTCCCAGGCCCCACGCTGCAGCCAAACAGTCCCCCCAGAAGTGGCTGTCGGTCACGGCAACGTGACGAGTGACTAAACGGATTGGCTCCCGACAGTCCATCTCTCTCTATCCCCTCCGTACTGACACCCCGCTCCAGGCATATTCCAGTGTGCCCCCGTGTCTCTTAAGATCCATCCTTCACCTCGGAACTCTCCGACGGTGGAGGGGCCTCCTCCGAGGTGGGGGACTGCGCACCTTCTGACCCATCTGGGGGAAAAAGAGACAGAGGTGGTCCTGAGCCTCGAGTGAACCAAAAACTTCCGCCCACCCGCCGACTGCTGATTCCAAACCTGCAATGTTTTATACCCGACGGTTTTATATTTGTTATATTTCAGACTTCCAGGTTGTCCCCGCTACTAAATGAAAAACTGCCATCTGATGGGCTTGAAATTTGTTTCCACCAGGAGGACACAAGTATGCAGGACTTAGACTTATTTAGCATTAGACAAAACTGCGTCCCTGACTCTTAGGCCTTGACCTTCATGGTAGACATGTCTCCTAAGCAGCCCTTTGAAGTTAAATGTGTCAGACCAGCTGTTCTTCATGAGCTGCCACTGCCCTTCCCCTTGTTGGAAGAAAGGAGGTGGAGTTTGGATTAATTTAGGGTGAATACAAAAGGCAAAAACGGACCTCAAAACCAAGCCAGCTTTAAGAAGTCCTTCCTCGCCTTTCATTAGCTGTGTTTATTAGTTAACAAATATGTGCTAGTTACTCCTCTGGTGCTGTTAGGATGTACGGGGATATGAGGTGACATGTGAGTACTTCAGTGTCTTGCGATGCAAGTCGAGAAAAAATGAGTTTCCTGCCTAAACTGTAGCTTCACTGGGTAACTGGGAACTTACATTTCAATCTCACCCAGGCCTTAGGGGGACTTGATCTTCTATATATTGTAAGATATTGTACATGCAACATACAGTATATGTCTTAAGGTCTGATAATGTGAATACGGTGTTCCTTCTTGGTGGAAAATCTTTCTAAAACATATTATTCACATAACCAAACCACATCCTTCAAGCAACATTTTGAAATGTTATTATATATTTAATATTTTCAACTATTAGTGAGGGACTAGCTGTGTTAGCATCGCACATTATGACACAGAATCAATGTAACCATCATCAAGTCACGTAGATTTGTCATAATATAGAAGGAAGAAACTGATGATACAGTCTACAGTACGTCTTTTTATCTGTGTACTGTAGATGAGGCCTTTTAATTTTAAATTTACAGAAAAACTGATCTGCTGTGTTCTAGGAGGTTACTGCACTTTCCATACTCTTCCTCATGTTAGGGTATTCTCCAGATTTTAAGGTTCCCTGCCTTTTTCAAGTCATGCTGGTTAGGCTCATCAGTGCCCAAATTCCAGGTGAGAACTGGAGCAAGCTATTTCACACACATACTGTGGTTTCAGAAAATATGCCCTTTATTATATGGGAGTGTTTAAACTCTCTTAAAATCCATGATGAGGAATATTTAAAGAACTTCATAATCCAAACGTAAAGAAGTGAGACTTTAAAAGTGAAAATACATTCTGTGTCTCGTTCAGTATGACACAGTATTTACATTTAATTGAAAAAGACAATGCTTTTACTGAGCAGAAGCCTTTTCCCGCCTTTACACTTTCCAACAACCTAGATTTCTCAAAGTCTCAAAGAGAAGATGATGATTGAGAGAAACATTTTGGAAAGGTGCTTATTTATCAGATGTTTGACACTCCTGAAAATCCCAGCAGCAGAACTAAAGACATTTTATTCACAAAGCAGGGGTGATGTGTTTCTGTGGTACACAACAGAAAAAGAGACCTTTTCTGTCAGCCAAACTGGATGGACAGAAAGACAGAGCACACGATGCCCTGCTAGATCAGCCATGGAAGTCACTGTTTTTCTGTGCTTTTGGTCAGTCGGTAAAAATTCCTCCTATAATTTCTTACATTTTTGTTTCACTTTTCATCACAGAGAATCTCAGAGCCCTTTACACACAGGTGGGGAGCCATTTTATCTGCCGCTGAAGTACAACTCCCCACCTCCACTGGTCACTGCACAGCAGATCAAATAGAGAAGGAAGAAATGGCTTCATCAATAGAATTAAGAGGAAACTTTAGGAAGTCTGCAAGCTGCAAGTCCAGCAGGATTAAGGCAGGACACTGCTGCTCTTATGAAGAGTGCCACCTGACCTGTAAAGAGCAAATATTCAGGACAGCACTTTTAAATCTCACCAGCAGGATGACACTTCCCACACTGAAGTACACCCTGTCACTATAGTGTTGTCCTGTTCTTGGTCATTCTTGGCCAGAGGAAAGAGTGTAATTTACTGATCTACCAACACCATTTACAGTAGCAGAAAACCCCTTTAGAGGTCTCCCAGCCCAGAACTGACCAGGCCTGGCCGTTCTGTGACCTGACCAGATCAGACTATGAGAGGAAAATGCTGCTGATGTGGCAGAGAGGGGAAAAGTCACAATCCAGAATGGGAGACAGAAATCCCAGTCAGACAGACCCTTCAACGAAGACACTTTGAGGAAGTTGTTGAAAAATGGGCAAAGGCAGAAACTGTGTCTTAGATGCAATCCAGTCAGGAAAGCAGTCAGTGGCAGACAGAACTTGAGTTAAAATAAAAGCAATGGTAATGGTGCTGGCCTCTAGTGTTGTTACCACTGGTTTGAGGGCAAAGGTTTCTGGAAAAAGTCATCATCCCCCCTTTTTTAATGGAGAGCAGTATCTGCATAGAACTTTTAAAATAGTAACACGTATACTGATCAATAAAGCAGTGCCACTCCTTTTAACAAGTCCCCCTCCAGTCGAACGCTGGTGACAGAAAAGACAATTCCAGAGGCGAACGTGAGCAAGGGGAAGGAATGTGGGCAGTATATCCCCGGACCAGAGGCGGACACAGACCTGTAAGGGAGAGCTCAGCCAGTTTGAGGGGCAGGTCAGAGGGGCTGACCCCAGCGGGAGAGCCCAGGATGTCTGGCAGGGCGTTTCTGCGGCCCGAACGGCCCGAGGAAGCAAAGTCCAATACTGGCTCCACCTCTGTCATCGCAGGTTCCTTCGCCAGCCTAGCACAGACGGGAAGAAAGGGAGGGCTCGTTATTAACACTCCCTGACAAGAGACTGATCCAGTGTCTTCCACACTCCTGCAGTGGCTGTCGGGGCAATGGGATTAGATTCAGTCACACAGTGCCATGAAATGACGTTCATAAAACTCAGAGGGATTTAAAAAAGAAAATGATACACATCTATACTGTACACAAATACAAATACACACATACAAACATACAACATTCACATACCCACACCTATACTAGATACACATATATGTAAAGGAACAAGTAATAGGTTTATTCCATGCTGAAAAGAGAAGAAAGAAAACACACACATATATGTACTTTCACATACTTATACACATAAAAATACATACAAATAAGTAAACATATGTGCAAATACACCAACCCATACTATACACACAAAATTTACATTCACACACTGTACAAACACATAAACACACTGTCATACACATGCACACTTACACAAACAGATATACACACATACTCATCCATATACATATATACAACGACACACACACACCCATAAACATAAGTACATGTATATACAAACATGCACACATACTGTACATTCACATTCACATATATACACACACATACACCTACATACTCACATGCTCATTATTTTGTCTCAGAGGGATTTACAAAAGAATATCTAACCCAGAAGGGAGCAGGTTTCTAGTTAGCGATGCCCAGAAGATGTAGGGAAACATTTTCTTGTGGATATAAATCTATAGCAAGCAAAAAGATTGGCCCAGTGCTGTCACTGTCTAATGAGGGGCTTATCTGTGTTGATAGAACACTGGTGTTCTCAGCACAGCAGAACAAAACAGTAATGATCCATGGTAATAGCTAAGGTACAGTCGCTTTTACACATGTGGCTGTGTGATTTCTGACAGTCTGAGATCTGATCTAATTCTTCCTGTCACATTGTACATTGTATCTGCTTCCATCTCCCCTAAACTACAGCTTTCAAAGGCTCTGTCCAAAATTCTGCTTTCTTGAAGCAGGAAATTCACAGCTGAGCAACTAAAAACCAACAGTAACATCTCAAACACTAGTTCAGTAAAATGCATCTCTTGGATTTTGGGAAAACACTGAACTGACCTTAGCATCACAGTAAGAATTAAGTTTCAGATGAACGATTAAAGGTTTATTCCATGGAGAAAAAGCGAAGAAAAGGAACACAATGTTTCGGCTCTCTCTAAATCTATTCATTTCTCTTGGTCCTTACACGATTCATAGGTGAACAGGAGTACTTGCAGTTTCCAGCAGAGGGAGCTCCTGTACTATTAACAGCACAATCAAGAGACGTCTTTGTAGTAGAAGGGACTGCCTATATCATGAGGCCCCATAAACGTATTTTAGAATACAATTATGTTTTATGTTTTGTCCAAATATGCTCATAGCCACAGATATCTAGTCTCTCTAGTTGCAGAATAACCTCATAGTATCTTAAGTATGCAATTAAAAGGGCAGAATTTCAAGAATTGGCAAGGAGTTCCAAAACCTTAGGGTAACTGAGACCATGTACAGTATGTATTGTATCCTATTTCCTTTTACATAAGTGGCATAGATAAAAAAACAGCAGTTTCTGTAGCACAAAATATGAAACCATATCTGACACAGCAGCACATGGGTATTTCTTTTTGCAGTTCCTGAAATACACTGCCTTCACTGTATCAATTTTGTTTCTGCAGTTCTTTAGTATGAAAAAGGGTGTGTCCGATGAAAACCTGCAACTGCCCAGATGTAATAATTTATAGAACAAGTCTCCCTGCGAACTCTGAGAGGCTATTTATGCCTGCATTTTCACATCAACGCCATCTTTTGAGATTCAGGATGCAGGTTAATAGCATATTGGAGTTACAATATACAAAAGGCTTTAATGATATTCCTAATATGTCAGGGAAATGTAAGTAGGGACCAATTATATTTCTCAAGAAAAACATTTCTAAATTTATTTATGATCCTGTGTAAATATCCTTAGAATGGATGTGTTTAAAAAGTGCACTCTTTCTGCTGTGCCAAGATAGAATCTTAGCAGAAAAGTATATTAAAAAAGTAATTCAATCCTAGGGAAAATCTGCAGAAATTGGAAGCAATCCATTATTGCCACCAAAGGAATAATACATCAGTATTTCACAACTTGTTCATGCTACATTAAATGTAAAAATACAATTTCATTGCAGGTGATCCAGTGAAGAAACTTCAAGATTATTTTCTTTTCTGCAATTCTGCACTCTTGTTCATTGCATTCCTGCAGAACATTTAAATGGGAAGACTGTTCAGCTTTTGTGTGCACATTTGCATGTATTTTCACATTGCTAAGAAGTTGCACTGACTCTTATTCATATGGGACTGAAGTATGGAAGATGCACCTTAATGTTCAACAATTCAGATTTAATTCAAACAAGGCAGCCACTTCGAAATATATTTCGGTATTTCGGTATTTCAGTTGTTATTCCTCCTCTTAATATCGAGAAGGTTGACATTTGTCTTTCTATTGACATTTCCAACAGTTCCTGCCTAAAATAAACTTACAGCACAAACTCACAGCATGTCCAGGCTATTTGCTTCATGTGAAGACAGTTATTTTTATGTCAGTCAAAGCCTGGCTGTATGTTCTACAATGCAATAACAGCAACTTGTGTAAGGAATATAAAAGAGATATTGAGTTTTCCCCACAAGGAGCAAATAATGTTTCTGTAGGTTGCAAACTGATATTCCACCTGGACAACAAGGCAGTAGGAGTTAAAGCTATGATCTGTCCCAGATTGCTCACAGAGAAAGCCGTGTGATGCATCTAGTTCCCTGACTACAGGGTGAGTTCTGAGGTTTTTTAGATCGCCCACAAAATTTGTTCCGCTTTTGAACAGATTCAAAATATTTTAAACTGCGATTAAGTGAAAATTAAATGATCTGAACTTACCTCACCTGTGCATGCCTTGTGTCTGGATAATTTAACTTTTTTTCCTTCGATGTTCACCAGGATCAGCCAATTGTGCAATGAAAGAAACACAACCATAAATTGCTTTTAGGATCAACTGTCTTTATCATCATAGTAAGACCAAAAAGCCACCTACTGTAAATATCTTGGTTCTCCTTTGCGTCTTGTGTAAATAAGAAAAAAATGAGACTCTTCCTCCGAGTCATGCTCTCTAAACAGAGAGCACCAGAGTGCAACCCCTGCGAACAGCCCATCTGTTACAGCAGGACAATTCAATGACATGCACTGTGAGCTGTGGCAGCTAGAATTGAATGCTCCTCACAATAAACGTTAAGGAAAAGTTGGTATAGAAAAAAATGTCATATCAAAGCAATATTGAAATGAGCCAAGGGCAGGAAAGCCCAGTGCAGGCCACCCAGGATGAGGTTTTGATGTGTACCATCTCCTGAAGTAAACAGACCTACAGTATACGGAATAGGAGGCTCTTCAGCAAAAGGCAGGAATTAATTCCCAAGCATTGATGCAGAATACAGAATCTACAGTACTTTATATTTTTTGTCGTGCCCTTGGGAGGCCAATGGCTTATTTACACACCCTGGTATGTACCCACCTACAATATTTCTAGAGAAAAGCCGTATTCTTTGGGCACTCATCTTTGCCATGTCATATCTCCTCCATTTAGGTCGCTGGTGAGCCATTTTGTAGACCACTGCTCTGCTCTATCACTAATGTCGGCCACTGCACACCTGTCTCAAACCTAATTTCAGGTTTCTGTGGGATTTCTTTAATGTATATTTTATTCAAGGCCATCTGTATTTATGATTAATGCATTTTGTTGTACGAAAATAGATACTGACAACATAGCTGGCCCAGAAAAGAGTGCAACAGAAGCACACTGAGTACATGGAGTGTTTCAGCCCCTCCCCATAATGATGATACATCACGTGAGCAGATAAATCATTGAAATGTCTCTAGCACACGCAGGTGTCCTGTGTGATGTCTGCGAGACAGTCTGAAGGTCACAGACACGCCATCAGACACTGGAGTGTGCCAGTGATCAATCTGATCAATGTCTTCAGCCACAGATGCTCCAGACAGACAACGCTGAAACACCTGCATCCCGCTGACCCGTCTTGCTCGTCATCCTTTCTCTCCTCCATTTCCCCTGCCTGCCTCTGTTTTCCTACGGTCTGTTTCCAAAGTGCACTCTTACTGTCATACGCTCAGGAGGTGGCGCAGTTGAAAAACACCCACTCCTGACTTCAAAGGCTTAAGGGCAGTAGAGCAGCATTTGGTGTGCCAGCAAACACCATTTTTATGTATGCACACTCTACAACACTCTTCACCATACGGTAGGAGTGGTGAATTCCCAAGCCCATTTAAGGTGCTTAAACTGATCTTACAACAATCAAATCTATTGTTACATCAAGAGATGGATTGCTTTAATCCCAGGTTTCGTTGCTGTCATTAGTGCCTAAAAGCTCTCTTTGCATAAACTCAGCCAGCTTTGAAAGTCAGTGTGGCAGGGGGAGTTTGTACCCTGCATTCTATTTCAAGGAATATTAAAACACAGCCTGTCAGAAGATGCACGGAGCTCCCACTGCCCCCTCTTATCTCTTCCACGCTCACAGCTTGAGCGTCAAAGCACTCTTTGTTTTTCCCTTCAAGCTCACAAGACACAGGGTAATTAGCATCCGACAGGTTTGCGGTTGGTACAGAAATCGGAAATGAGAGACACAAAGAAGAATTAAGCAAAACAGACGAAACTTCTGACATTGCTTTCTCGCTGAACACAATGACAGTTGCTGCTAACATGCACCTGTGGAATGGTCCTGTGATTTCTCCTTCACTGTTTGAAGCTGTGGATGGATGGCAGCCGGTTATAAGACCTATTTAATTATCTCCTGAAATGATAGCCCAAGCAGGTTAGATGCAGGTTAAGCTCAGGAAGCTGCAGCAATTCAGTTAATGAATGCTTTCCAGTGTCAATACAAAGGGCAGATGCAGGGATTATATATCTTTTCAGGCATAGTAATGAAATGAC